TCCGGCGTAGAGAAATGCGAAATGTCTCCAGAAAGAAAGGCGAAGCAACTATTTCTTGCCCACCCGACCGACCAGAGATCTCGGAGACGGCCAAGGATTACCTGTGGAAAATATCTCGACACACTGTGACCTAGAGTCGGATTATCGAATCTCAAACGCTGGCACAGGATCTAGAACGTTGGTTTGACACGTCTGCCTCCGCGATCCGAAAGCATCATCGATCCGAAGCGATCATCGAAACTGACCAATTTACTTACACCAGAGAACCTCTTTCCTGCGGAACAGTCATGCTCAGTACTAATTATGCAGTTCAAGCCGAAACTAGTAAAGACGGAAAAGAACAACTTTGCACTAGTGCAACTGATCACGTGTCGTCTCAGTGTCGCACATAAATCTGTCGAAAAATTTAAGACTAAGTTAAGATTCGCGTCACCAGTCAAACCGGTTTCCCTGGATGCCTTGGAAACGGTTACTCTATTTAAAATGCAGGAACGATGTCGAAAAGTTCTTTCTGGAATGACTGGTAGCGTTGATGAGCACTGAGTAACAAGCCAAGAGTTACTGATGGTAAGAAGTCCGTCCATTTGACGTCAGATTCAGAGCAGCGGCGTTGAACCCTGTGGTCCGACAAAATCATTGAGATTCACAACTCGTTAACTGCTGTGACGATTCTGTAATAATGAGTAATAAGAAAGTAAGCGAAAGGAGAGCAAAGTTGAACGTGACGATATTATCGAGAAGTTAGTCGATACAGCAATAGCGAAGACAATTAAGAGATGCATAAGATCACAAAACTCGGTACGCGGCAGCGTGGATATGCTTAACCTAAACATTTAAGTCCTAAACTTAAGTTTAATCGTAGTCAGTAGTGCGGAAGCGCGTAGAGCATCGCACCACAGAGACCGACCGTTGCAAATCGAAAGCGGACCGATGCCGGTATAGTTTGAAGCTCTGTAACGCTAGCGTCATCAAGGAGGATAAACTGAAATGAATACGCAATGAATGGGCACCAGTACGTTGCCATCGAATAACGCCAGACAAAGGCGGTACGACAGAGGTGCCAAACCTTTTGATGCCAATGGCATCTCGTAAGCGCACCAGGACGGGAAAGGCAGTACTCGTAAGAATCAGAGAATCAGACACCAATCGAAAGTGTATTGCTACTTCGGTGTTCGTTCGCTAAAACCTGTAAATTACGAATAAACACAAGTTACTGAAATACAAACAGACAAAACTATATTTATACAATGGCATACCTTAGATGGACAAAAGCAAAGGGAAAGTGGCATAAATGTGATGTGTAAAAGTGGCTGAATGAGCGATTTCAATAACCGAAACACGCTGACTTCCGGCTCACGCGGATAGTGTACGCAATTCGTTAAAAAAGTGCTGTACGGTTGGTTCGAAAAGTAAAACACGTTTACGCCGTGTTGAATAAACTAAAACAAAAAAACTAATAAAAGAAAAGCAAACGGTAAGGGAAAAGCGATCGTACTACCACTTCCGTGCCTGCAAGACGCCAGCAACAAAGAGGGTGCAGATGAGACTCAAGAAATTGGCTATTTAAGCCTATCAGATAAGACATGCTGCGCAATACGTTCGATCTTCGTACCTGTATGAGCTCAGGAGGGAAACCGGCAACTGTAACCTTCAGAAAATGTAGCAATAAAATAAACTTTTTTTATCGTCTTACTCAGTTAAGGTATTCATGACGAACGTTTTGTCTAAAATGTTAAAATTCTCCTTTAAGCAAAATTCTAATAGCAAATCAAAGACTGCCTAAACTGAAAAACCTGCCGATGGCAGCTCTCAAGGATTTATGTACTTCGATCATGCCATCATTCAGCGTGCAAAACGAGCATTTGGCAAAAAAGTGGTTCATGGCTTGGTCACCGGCTCAGTACTCTCATTCAGAGGAACTGCTCTGGTAGTCATAACGAAACATAGCAGACGTCGATCAGCAGTTGCGAATGCAACAAATTCAGCTGTGTTCGCAGAGGAAATGTTAACGCTGACGACGCAGTAGTCTGCTTTACGACGAACGCTGAAAAGCTGGAAATGACAAAGACGTCACAAGCAATAGACGACTGGCTAGCGTAAAGGGCTCGATGTGATGCTCACAACAAACAGCAACAACAGTTCTAC